ATGTGTTGGAGCTGGAAGGGATCATGCTTAGTGAAATAAGCCAGAAAGAAAAAGAAAAATACTGGAGCATAAGGGACCAGAAAAAAGAAAAGAAACACAATTGTAATAAACTAAAAATGAAAACAATGAACAACTATAAACCAGAGACATTTTAAGGAGGTGGAAAGGGGATTGGGATCAAAACTGTGGTGGGAAGAGTGCGGTGATGGCACATGGGTCAATTGGTGGTGGAAGTCCATGGGAATTAAAACAGAGATGAAAAAATGTACCAAATGAAGAATGGTGTAAAAAAATATAGAATAATAATAATAATAATAAAAGAATGTGTTGGATTGCTGGACTTGAACCAAAGTTCTAAGTATATCATACCTTCCATGGCCCTTTCTGCTTCTCTGCAGGGCAGGTTTATTTCTGTCCTTCCCCCAAAGAAAACCAATCAGAGGCACTGTGAAGCGAGGACTACAAGCTTTCCCACCCCTGAGTGGTTGGCTTCCCCTCAGTCCCCCAGTAAACTAATCTCAATATTTATTAAACATTCTGGGTCAAATGCTTGCTGACTCTTTCACATACATAGCTATCCTAGATGTCAGTTAGAGTCAAACTGATTTTTGACATCCTCATAAAATTGTTCAAAATGGCTTGAAATTGACCATTAGGTGGGGAGTCCTAAAACCTCTTACAATTTCTGCAAATTCGCTAGGATTTTTATTTTTATTATTCTGAATTCTGATGTCTTTTTTTTTCTCAATCTTTGCTATATATTTAATCACTCTTATCACACCCCATATTCTGTCACATCCCATAACATTAAATCTGATTTCTGGATTCAGTTTGGTGTCCCTTACCCTTTCTTTCTGTGGATGTTGTCTTTTCTTGATCCCACATCAATATAGAAGAAAAAATCAGCATTCTTCTTATTTGCCACAAAGTAGCCCTCAGCCAGGTCCTTGTTTATTTGAGTGTTTGTTTTGTGACAGAACTAGTGAGAGAAAAAAAAGTAACAGGAAAAAAGTGACACTATAGAAGCACCATGAAAACTGAGCCGGTATACTGTCTGGTAATTGTAAGCATTCATTCATCCCCAGTCACTGCACTCTCACTGAACCTTTTTTCATAGAATAGTATGATGTTAAATGGCTTAACCTTTCCTGACACCTCCTGTTTGCACAGGACCACCTCAATTCGCGCAATTTCTTATGCATAGCAGCCATAAATCTCTGCTTATTTGTGTTTTTCCAAACGATGGTCTGCATGTCTAAGAAGGAAGAGAAGGTGGGAGTTCAATATTGTGACAGAAATTGGCCTAAAAAGGTAGGTTGTAATGGAAAAGACTCCCTTGCTCCAGAGAGAAGGAACAAGTGGCCAAGAAAAGAAATTGCTTTTGGTGGCACCGTTTTTTGCCATTATATTTTATTTGCTAGATGTCACACCACGGGGTTCTGAGAGGAATCTGAAATGAGATCCTAAAACTAAGGTTTTCCATCAAGTAAAACAGCTGACCTGAGTTCTCTAGACAGTCATCTAACAAGGGGAGGGGTCAGCCTTTGAATGAATGAAAAAAGTGGTTTCTTACAAGAGATCTGTGTGAATGAGAGAGAAGCTTAGGTTTTACCAGCTTTCCAGTAAATCTACCTTTACTCCAAAAAAGAACCTTAGTGTTTTTCTGAGTTCAATTAGAGCTCAGCCAGCACCATCAACTTACCTAGAGTAGAAAACTGTCATACCTCCAACTGGCCTCACCCAAGCCCCCCACATGTCATACTTATAGAAACTATTGTGCTTGCAACCTTGACACTCACTCATTAAATGTATAAACTTAAAACTTCTATAGTTGAATTATAGCTTAATAATATTAGTGCAAGTTCCCTACCATGTTGACTTTACTTTAGAAAGTCTTCTTTAGTGAACTAACTTCTTGAGAAATAGTAACTTGATCATCTCTTTCTTTAAAATTTATGATAATCAGTAATTATTAGATTTTTAGCAAATGCTAGGTATAGAGCTGCAAGCCATAAGATATTTGAGTATTTGGGCCTGACAGAATGTCTCCTGAAAGAAAGGTGATGAGTAAATGGTCTTTCTGCCATCAATGAATGTCCATAGGCAACACCATCCACATGTTGGGCACATCCAAGGAACAGGTTGAGTATCCAGAGAGAGCTAGAATTTCCATAAAGGACACATTCCAAATGTGTCCATTGACACCAGGATTTACAAAGTTGCCTAAGGCAAAGGAATGGGGAATGTGTTATGCCTTACCTATATGTGGTCAGAAAACATAATGAGGATGAAATTTCACAAAAACAAGCTGCATATGTTGGTTACCTATGCATTTGTTACTTATTTAAAAATACAACATGGATAAGATTAGCCATTGTCAAAGTTTTAAAACTACAAAAAATGGGCATTTCAGTATTTTTAGAGTAGAAGAGAAAAAGACTGTTGACAAAACTTATTATAGTATATTGGTTTATTTTATTATTGGTTATTTTGCTAATTTTGTACTGTAATTTATAAATTAAACTGGCATACAAATGTAAATATGTATGTAGGAAAAAGATGGTATATATAAGATTTGGTACAATTCTTGATTTCAGGTATTCACTGAGGGTCTTGGAGCAACTACCATATTTCAAAACCTTTGGCATAAAAGTAAAGAAACACAACTATTTCCCAAACTTGAGAAGCTAAGAATAGAAAACATTTTCCTCCTAATTTCCAAAACAATGACTACTTTCTATTCATGTCCCTTGGGGGACATGAACAGGATGGCTCTATAGGAAACAGAGCCACTAAAAAGAAGAAAGAGAGAAAAGACCCTACGACTGAAACAAAAGCCCAAAATGCAAATACATTGGTTTCTAAATAATATCCTGGTTCAGTTAATGTTTACCATTTATAACTTTGCCTTCTGCCGCTGGATCAGAGGCCATGCCCCCGAAAACACAATATAAGCAACCGGCAGTGTACATCTCTCCATTGCTTCGGCCGCCTTCTCATTGTCCCTGGAACGAAAGAGAACGCAATGGCAACGCTTCTTCTGGGCACCTTGCTCTTTCTCTCAGAGGTTGCAGCACTTCCAGAAGGTTGGTACTGAGTTTGCTGGGGAAACCTTTCCTCCAAGTCCTGGAGGACCAGGGGACACCACCCTCTATTGTTTGCCCCAGTGCTATTTAGAGGAAGATGTAAATGAGGAATGAAGTTACCTATGGCTGCCCCAAACTTAACACCAAAAACAGAGTCTCACACATGCTGGGATCAGGAACCAGGGAGAACCTACCACTTCCTGTGGGTCAGAACCAGACAGTAGCTGAACCAACTGGCTGACCCTGACTCACAGAGTCCCATGGAACCAGGGCTGCTATTTCATCTGAAGGTTTGCCCAGCAGGCTCTACCTCCGTGCTCACTCGCCTGACCATCTCCAGGACTCAGTTCTCCTAAGTGGTTGGGGTGAGAACTTTAGTTCCTCGCAGAACTAGGCTTTGGTCAGAAGCTTTTCTCAGTTCCTGTCACAAAAGAGCTGGCTTCTCCAAGAGAGAAGTGAGCTCATAGAGAGAAAGTGCCCTCTACGTAAGTAAGTCTTCCCCTGTCTAACCTGAGGAGTCACAGTTCTGCAGTTTTCTATTTGTTAGCAGCAAGTCAGCCTGCAATCAAGGAGAGAAGCATTATTTTCAGATACATTTTTGAAATCAGCACAGGTGCTGATGAGTAAGGCTGTGCCTGGCATAAGGAAGCCCCAGGTCTGGAGGAGGGAGGCTGGCTTTGCTGATGACATGGAAACACCTCTCACCAAGAGAATAAGAAGGATGTGAAGCATATATTAGAAAAAGGGAAGTTACTACAGGGGTTGGGTGTTCTTGAGCTGATACTCCTCCATCCTTAGGCTGCACACGAGAGGAAATTGTAGAAGGGTCTCAGACTCTAAATGAGAGAACCCATTTCTCCCAAACTTTATAAAGTTGCTGAGCACTGATCCCCAGTTTTTTTTTTTTAAGAAATGGGGATACAAATGACTTCAGTCTTACTAAAAGTTGTTACGGAGGTTGAATGAGAACAGATAAAGGAAAAGTATACTTTGTGATGTGTTAATGTTATGAAAAATTCATTCAGATTGACAGCAAAAAGTCTTTAATATTCTGGCAGCTCTTGCTTTTTCCTTTTTTATTAATTCCATAAGGGAACCTCATCTTCTCAAGTTCAAGACAATACTTCCTACCATATCACAATCAGCAATAAGTTATTCACAACACCATTCTGGCTAAACATGCTATTTCATTCCAGGTTCATATACTGACAAGACCACAAATCACACACAGGGAGAAGTTGATCACAGAATATAATTTACTTTCCCATCCTCCTAATTCTTATTGTAGTGGCTAGAACTCTCTTCCTCACTTTCTTTTTACCTCCCCTGTTGTAATGTGTAATCTCTTCCTCTCACCCTCTCCCCTAGATGCTCTGTTTCAATTCCTTGTCCAGGCTGAGCATTTCTTAAGAAACCCTGTATTTAAGAAAATAGGAATTCATGCTGTTTTTCCATTTCCTAGTATAAAGCAAAACTATCTCAATCCAGGACTTCATACTGCTTTTAGGCTATGCCTCCCTTGATTCAGTTAGTCATTATTCTCTAATTTATTTCCAGACCATAATATTTGTTAGACTTGCTTTCCTAAGTAAGAAAAAACAGTTCATTTTCTAATGATCAAGACTTCTTTCATGGGTCTTAACAGGAAGTAAGTCAATGGTAAGTAACTATTCCTTAACCCTGAGGTTGCAGCCACAGGAAGCAAGCTATGGGAACTAGGCCCTGAGCTGGCACTGAGCTCCAGGGGTGGAGCCAGAGCTGAGGGTACCGGGAAGGGCCTGGGGGTTGACACTCTGAGCTGTGGTATAGGAGCGGGAGCTGAGTGTTCCAGGAAGGGCACGCTGTTCTGTTCTGACTTTGCACTTTGACTGGTGGCCCATAGGCAAGCACTGTTCCAGAATAGCAATGGGGAACATGTCTAACCTCAGCTCCCGGGGTGCCCGGGGGGCAGCTGAGGACTGCACCTTGGTGCAAGTGAGTAGGGTGTCTCACACATTACTGTCCATGACTTCCAGTGTGTTTCATTTTCTGTGTGTGTGTGGGGGGGGGGCGGGGGGAGGCGGAGGTTGCTGTCCTGGCCAGATTACTCTCTGGAGAAGAGAGGCCTGGGGGTTGATACTAGGCATTTTTTCTTCTCCTTTCTAACAGGACAGCTGTAGTCAATCCTGCCTTCTGCCTTTTAACCTTTTTTTTTTTTTTTAAAGATTTTATTTATTTATGCATACAGAACTGGGGTACAGTCCAGAGGTACAGGGGCAGTGAGAGGATTCACCAGAGACAGAGTGGGAGCAGAACAGGCTGACTGATGAAGTACACTGCAGAGGGGAGCAGCGGGCAAGTCAGGAGAGGTCTGCCGCGCCATGTGGGTCACCTCCCGGGTGGGGTTTGAACTCATGAAGTGGCTTTAGCTTCTAGTGCTGTGCTTTAACCCGCAGCACCACCAGGGAGGGCCTTAACTTTTAACTTTTGTTCTTCCAGTGCTGAGGCACTGAGGGTACCCTGTGAACTTGCAAACACACCCCCCACAAGAACTGACAGTGTTTGTTATTGTTTCCTCTCCACAGACTTGAACGGGAAAGTGCTTATTTTCCCTACGGAATCAACCACGGCTTACGTGTCCCTGTGCCCCACGGAAAAGAAGCCACTGAGTAACTTCACGCTGTGCATGAAAGCCTTCACGGACCTCACACGCCCTTACAGCCTCTTCTCTTACAGCACCCACTCCCAGCCCAACGAGCTGCTCCTCTTTGTTAACAAACCTGGAGAGTACTTGCTGTATATCGCAAACTCTGAAGTCAAGTTCACTGGCCCCCCAGCTCCTTACACCCCACTTCATGTGTGTGTCAGCTGGGAATCAGAGTCTGGGATCGCTGAGCTGTGGGTGAACGGGAAGCCTCTGGGGCGGAAGGGCGTGAGAAAGGGATACTCCTTGGGCGCACAGGCCAAGATCTTCCTGGGGCAGGAGCAGGATTCCTTCGGGGGAGGGTTTGAGGCCCAACAGTCCTTTGTCGGGGAGATATGGGATGTGTCCTTGTGGGACAAGGCTCTGTCCCTGAAGGGCATGTGCTCCTTCTGCAGCAGTGGCAACTTGCTGAACTGGCACCATCTGAACCATAGAGCTCATGGCTACGTGGTGACCAAGCCCAAGGTGTGGGCTTAGGCCTCTGTTCCTCAGGCATGATTTGTTTTCTGATAATCACTCCCACCTTCTCTTTGAAATTAAATGCAATGATTCATGGTTTTTTTTTTTCCTGGCTCTATTAAGATGGCGTACGTGATATTGTACGTGACATTTCAGAAGGACAAGGGATAGGCAAGCCTTCCTACACATTCTTCCTTGTTGCAAACATTGCTTTGGGTAAATTGCACCAGCATTTTCTGCAGCATCAGACTGTGGGGACACTCTGTTTTTAACACGGACACCGCCTCAGTTAGTGCTGTGTAGCAGTGGGGGCCTCGGGCAGAACGGGGTGTTATCTGTGTGCAAAAATTCAGTGATCTATAAAATGACTAAGAGGAGAGGCTTTTCAGGAATGGGGTGCCATCACCAGCAGGAGCCCCAAAGAGAATCTTGGAAGGATTTTTTCAGAAGCAGGTTGGTGGGAATCCAGCCCTTGCACCTAGTCCAGTCAGGATTTGGACGCACCCAGGGAGCCCAGATCAACAAGGTGTTCGCCCAGGGTGGGGAAGTGTTCCTCTCCACACTCGCTGTGGGGTTGTTCTTCTGGAGCAGCTGCTCTGAGGAGACACCACCTTCATTCTCCCAGGCAGCGCTCCATAAGTGAGGAGGTTTCCTGCCGTGGCCCTTCTGCCATTAGGGTTTTCCAGGTACTTTGTCTGACACGCACTTAGAATGCATTTCAACAGGCACATTTGGACAGGAGTTGGGGGGCAGGTGGGAGATGAGGATTACATGTTATTGTCTTTTACGTGAGCCTTTTATGAAATGGAAAACATTTGGCCAGCCCTGTCTCTTTTTTCCTCCTGACTAAATAATCCTAAAATCCTAAACCTTTCTCATAAATCATTAACATTGTCCCCTTAGACAGTAATAACAATAGGAATTGGGAGCTTCCCCTGCTCTTACTGAGACAAGTGTTTAGACTTAGAGATTCAATCAGGCACCCAACTGTTCACAGAAGACAAGTCCATCAACACAGATGAAGAGGGCAAGGCCCAGGGGCAGCGCAGGCCCCACAGAGGTGTAACAGACACCGCCAGTTCGTTTCTCGCTTTCAGACCACAAGTGTTAGTTGGAAAGGAGTAGGGATGCAGTAAACAAATTCAATTTCGGAACCGATCTGCCCTTACGCGTGCGTGCCTACACAGTGCACCGTATTCGTCACCCATGGAAAGCACGGACCCCTGCACAGAATTGGGCAGCTGGCTGGGCCAAGTCGCCGGCTAGCCTGTGCAGGGAGGAGGCCCGGGGAGGAGGCAGGCTTAAGGCGAGCTCCAACAAAACTGGCAAATGATGCCGCGGGGTTTCCAGGGAGGTGACAACATGTGGAGCTACTAAGATTTCTCTGGGATGTTTCTCCAGGTTTGTCACTCTTCCTGCCGCTCCAGATAGAAAGTGGTGATGGGGCAAAGGTGGCTGTGAGGGCGTTCCTGGCCTATTCCGGGCACCATCCATGTGCTCTTTGAAATTGCAGCGCTCCATTTGCACCTGACATTTAGGTTGATCTTTCAACCTATCACTTCTCACTTGTCTGCCATCAAAAGCTGATAACAATCAGCCACTCTTCTTATTTCACCCCTCCAGCCCCCCCCTCACCCCCAGCCTTCTACTTTGCGAGCAGAGTCTGCCCATTCCCTAGGTGGTAACCTACGTGCCAAATGGAAGGCTAAAGAGAATGATGGTAAAAAGCAATTTTAAGTTAGCAAACTCTTAAGTTTTTAATGCAGCTTTGCCAGCAAATCCTGCAGTATTTTTCTGGTTGAGTGATGAAATATTTTGAGATTACAAAATACCCAGAGAATGACTGACTATGTATAGTCTGTCTCCAAAATCCTAGACGAGAGATTTCTTGCCAATCGCACGACGGAGGGCGTCCTTCACCTCCTTGTTCCTCAGGGTGTACACCACGGGGTTCAGCAGGGGGGTGATGACGGTATAGGTCACGGAGATCAGCTGGTCCTGATCCCTGGTGTTCTCTAACTTGGGCTTAAGGTAGGCAATGGAGGCACAGCCATAGTGGATGATGACCACAGTGAGGTGGGAGGCACAGGTGGCGAAGGCCTTCTTCCGGCCCTCGGCTGAGGCGATCTTGAGGATGGTGGAGATGATGAGGGTATAGGAGATGAAGACCAGGCCCATGGGCACCACGATAACCAGAGAGCTGATGATAAAAGTAATTATGTCATGCACAGTGGTATCTGTGCAAGACAGTTTCATCACAGGTCGGAGGTCACAAAAAAAATGAGCCACCTCTCTGTCACAGAAGGACAGCCTGAATATACTGGAAATCTGAATTACAGCCACCAACAACCCAACGCTGCAGGCGCCCACCACCAGCTGGGCGCATACCCTCTTGTTCATGATGAGCGCATACCTCAGAGGGTTGCAGATGGCCACGTAGCGGTCGTACCCCATTGCTGTGAGCAGGAAGCAGTTGTTGATGGCCAGTGTGATGAAGAAGAACATTTGGATGGCACAACCAGCCAGGGAGATGGGCTGATCCAGGCCAGCCAGGCTGGAGAGCATACGTGGTATGATGACGAGTGTGTACATGGTCTCTGAGGCGGACAGCATGCTGAGGAAGAAGTACATGGGTGTGTGGAGGTGACGATCAATACTGACGATGGTCACTATGATGACGTTGCCAGCCAGGGTTAAAATGTACAGTGCAAGGAACACGACAAAGAGGGTGAGCTGGTGCTCATGGAAGCTGGCGAAACCCTGGAAAACAAACTCACTCACCACAGTGACATTCTCTCTCCTCATTGGAAAAATTCTGGGGCACTGAGGCATCAGATAGAATGTGCCAGTGCGTGGCATTTGCTCAGGAGGGCTCCGAGGAGGGTATGTCCCTGTAGGGCCTCAGGGGCATGGGACTGCTCTTCCCCTGTGGGTAACAGACAGAAAGAACTGCTGGAGAAATGACCTCACTAGAGATTTATTTATAAAGGGAGAATAAGTAGGGATGAAATCAGGTAGAAGTTAGGACCTCAGGGGCAAGTTAAGAGGCTTCCTGGTGCACCAGAACACAGGTTTTCGGGGAACATGGAGTCTAAAAATAGGAGATGTCTAGTTACTTTTGAAAAGAATTTCCTCATATGTTGAGTTTCAGATTTTTGTTTACCTAAAACAAAAATTGCTAACTTCTTCCATTTCTTTTAAGTTACACAATTTGAGCATTTCCTTAAAGATCTTTTTTCTAAGTTGCCAAAAGAGATCTAGTGTTTGCTTTCTCCTGTTCCACTTGTCTGCATAAAACCTTTTCACAAACCATTTGTAGCTTTGATGTGACTGTCCCTCTCTCTCCAATTTTTTTTTTTAAACAAATCATGCTGTCTCTCTCTCTCTCTCTTCAGTACTTCAATACTCAAATATTCTCTTGTTCCAAGTCGTCTCAGGAGAGATTGGGCAGCTGGATGAGACAGGTAGCCTGCTATCCTGTGCAGAGAGGAGACCTGAGGAGGAGGCAGGCTTAAGGCGAGCATCAACAAATGTGGCAAATAATATCACAGGTTTCCAGGGCAGGTGACAGTGTTTGAAGCTGCTAAGATTTTTCTAGGGTATTTCTCCAGGTTTGCTACATTTCCTGCTGCTCAAAAGGTAGAGCAGTGACTGGGCAAAGTGGTTGTGACTGTGTTTCCAGCCCACCTGGGACACCACCCATGTTGTTCTTTGAAGATTCAGAGCTCCATTTACACCTAACATTTAGGTTGATCTTTCAACCCATCACTTCCCACTTCTCTGCCCTCAACAAGTTGGTGATTACTGGGTAACGTCCTACTTGTTATTCCTCTGAAATGCTCAGTTGCTAAGTGTGGTTCTGTGATTGGCTTTTGTGACCTGTGTGCATATGTGAGTTTTCTAGCTTGTGCTTAGATGTGAATTTTCACAGACGTTGGACTCATTACTAATTCTGAACTCAGGATTTGTGAGTCTCTCCTCAACTTCCTATCTCAGGACTTACTAGGGGTCAGAAAGTTCTCATCTCCAGAAAGTTTAGCCATAATAATTATTCTTTATGGTCCCTCCCTGATGGCACAATGGGCTAAAGTATAGTTCTTTAGAGCTGTCGGTAGCTACTGTGGCATAAGTTCGATCCCCAGCCAGGGAGCTGACCCACATGATATGGCAGATTTCTGACACACCCATTCTCCCCTCAGCAGTGTATTTCAGTAGACCCACCTGTTCTGCTCCCCACTCTGTCTCTGGTGAGTCCTCTCTCCCCCTACACCTCTGGCCTATACTTCAGTTCTTGTGTTCATAAATAAATCTTTAAAAAAAAATAGGAACACTTTGCAATCTGAACAGGCTGTAACTTACAGAAACTTGAGCACCCACAGGTCAGGTCCATGGAAAACTAACTAGTGTTCAAAGAAAGGTTAAAGTTGATGAAAAGACCTTTCAGAGTGTGGCAAGTGAGGTCTCATCTTGGTACCAAAGTTAAGGAAACACCAAAACATTCCATAAATAAGATAAATAGAATTTAAGTCAACATTTCTTTTTTAAAAAGTAATCAAGAGGGTCCTCCCAGGTGGCACAATGGGTTAGGACACAGCACTGCAAGCTGGCCACAGCCGCTTCAGTCAGAGTTCGATCCCCACCCCAGAGGTGACCCACATGGCGTGGCAGACCTCTCCTGACTGGCCCGCTGCTCCCCTCAGCAGTGTATTTCATCAGTCGGCCTGTTCTGCTCCCCGCTCTGTTTCTAGTGAATCCTCTCACCGCCCCTGCACCTCTAGCTTGTTCCCCAGTTCTTGAATAAATAAATATATCTTTAAAAAAAGGAATCAAGTAATCCAGAAAGAACAACATGTTCTAATTTTAAGTAAAGACACAATCAGTTCTGACTGTTCTTACAATGGGTTACCAATTCTTGAATGAGGGCAGATTTTAGTATTTATTTACTATAAATTTTGAAGAACAGGAAAAATGTAAAATGCTTTCAAAATACAGAGAAAATTGTAGACCAAAATAGATGTTTATTTTCCTTGGAGTTGTGTTAACAGATCAATCCTTAACCTTCCTGTTTAAGTTCAGGATATATTACTGAGCAGGATAAAACTTTTGCAACTGGAAAATCAGTCCTACCTACATTACAGGCATTGAAAAAAATAAATACAGAAGGTTAGCTTTAGAAGAGAGACTGTGTGTGGACTGAGCTCATGCTTAGTTCCTGCAGTTCCACCTTCTCTCTGCTCATCACTCAGGATCTATCTGAAGAGTGATCTTCCCCCCACCGCCATGATAGCAGGGTCCTTAGATCAGAGACAACATGGTACCTCCTTCTGTGGAAACACATCACTGTGGAAAGCAACACTACTCCAGTTCTGGTGCCTTAGATTTTGGGATTTTTAGCTAAAAACCTCCCATCTTAAAAAAAGAAAAAAGTGAAAAAAATTCTTTCAAGAGAAATCATTTTCATGCCAATCTGAGACAAGGGGAGAATTTTATCCACTTTACTATTCAATTTCCCCAGTTGGAAACATGCTGGGAAAACTCACGGACTCTGTAGGTAGCTTTAAGTCCTTCAGATAGAACTGAATCACAAGACCTTAGAGAGAGGAGGTAATTTTAAAGACAGCATTCCTCACAAATCATCCCCAAATTCTGCTCCACTGCTTCCAATGATTGGAAGTTCATTATCTTTCAAGTCAGCATCCCTTGCTTTTTAAAAAAATGCTGTTTACTAAAAAAAAAAAATAAAATTAGACTTTTCATATTATAAAATGCCTAAAGGAAAAAAATCTGTACACAAGGGTATAAAAAAAAAAAAAGTTAATTTTTTCCTTCTTTGCTTTTGCTCGTCCAGAGGTAAACATGACTTATTTCCTTATTTCCATTTAGGAAATATTTGTGTACAAGTTAGCATATTTCCATGTCATTTTACTTTTACACACGTGGAATGAAACTGCATATACCAATTCACAACTAGTTTTTAAATTTTTCTTTTTTTTAATTTTCTTTTACTATTATACCTTGAATACTTTCTGAAACAGTGCTTAAAATTCTTATAAATACAAAAAAAAATTCTGAATCTTCTTGAAAATAGAGCTGTACAGTAAATCAGTCCGAGAACTATCTCTTAACTTCATTACCATGCATGTCACCCCATTAGGCTATCACCAATTCTATTGTTGAATAACCCTAAGAGAAAACCTTATACTCTTTATTGTCTCAATACCTGTCTCTTTGCAACTTACTGCTTCCCCATAATATCTCAACACCTATTCTCTCTCAACCAGGTAGTATCCAAAATATGTGAGCACCTTGATCATGGTTATGATAAATTTCATCTTCTGGTATCCCTTAGCAAAGCCAGATGAGCATGAAGAAATATAATTATCAATGGACATTTGAATCAACCAGAGGGGGAAAACAGAAAGATTTTGGAAAATACACAAGGTTCCTCACTTGTATTCACCTCTGCCCACAGCCATTCACCTTGGCAACAGGTAAGAGTGGAGGCACATCCCAGGCAGGAAGCTTCTCACAGCATCAAAGGCGCTGTGGAGAGGATGTAGGTAAAGTACCTTGTGTTCAAGGGGCATGTTCTGTATCCCGTAAGGTCAGGAGAGCTCAGCTGTCTAATATCAGAGATCCGTTCAAATTATTGCTGTGTTTCCTGAGGCTGACTGGGGGCCCTGCTTCTGTAGGCTTAGCAAGTGGCCCAGGAGAAAACAGTGCAGTCTCATTAAGCTTTCAAGAGTGTGGGATATTTATTTCTCCCAAGAGGAGCAAGTCCCTCTGCCCCAAGTCTCCCAGGATTACCCCTTGGAAAGTTCCGCCAGGGTACAGAGGTAGCGAAGAGGGCACCCAGAGTGGGACTCGAGGGCTTCATTAGGGACTGGAGAAGCAGAGGAGGGGGTTGCTTTTCTTTGTTCATTGACTGTCTCAGACTGTTGGAGTTTCCAAAACTACTACTGCACTGTTTTAGTCAAGTAAATCATATGAATGCAGATATACTTAGGAAGGAAAGACTACATCTTAGTTTCTCAGAATTAGAGAAGCAGCAACTTCTTGAACCTTACTCAAAAAAATATCAGCACCAGCAAGAGGATAGAGGGGCCGGGATTGCTCTTGTCCAGCTTCAGTCTATAGTCAGCTTCGTCAAGTCTCACTGGACACACATCTCAGCTTCTGTCCCATTCAGGGGGACACCTCTGCCAGACTTGGAAAGAGCAGAAGACACCTTCTCATGTCCCTTCCTCATGTCCCATCGGTTCCTTCTCTCACCTTGATGGGGAATCAAAAGGTCACACATCTCTATTCTAGAACATCTAGTCTCTGGCTCAGCACCACCATCTCCATCAAGGTGGTCTCTGCGTGTGGAAGATTCTTGAAGAGCCCCTTGAGCTCTGCCCATAACAGGGATTGTCCTAACAATCTTCAACCCAGACTAGGAATTTACTTTCTAAAATAATCCTGTGAACACTAGAACATTTTGGTAAGGAGGTTTCTAATCTTGTTTCAACTGATATATGAGTTTACATATATTTTGGCCCATGTTTATGGCAAAAATGGGATGATGATTATTTTTGTAGCCTTGAGCCTTTTTAATAATATGACCTCTTGCTATATAAACACTTCGTTCAGTTTGTTTTTTCCTCCTAATGATGCATTGTGAAACTTTCCCATCTTTGTAAACATTTTCCTACATTATCATTTCTAGAGAGATGCATGCCTTCCCTCACGGTTATGCTCTATGCTATATTGCAGCATGCTTTGTCTGAACCCAAGGTCAAATGAACACCACATATTGCATTTAATGGTTAAATTTTCAAATTATTTTTTCGTCTAGACCAGTTTCTCAACAGTGGCACTGTGAGATTTTGGCTCTGACAGCA